AAGATGGATTTCAAGAAAACTGATGATGCTGACGAAGAGCTGGAACAAGGAGAGATTCCTGTTGAGGTGGAGCATGTTGATGCTGAATTGCGTACCCCAGAAGTCAAAGAAGACGCAGAAGATGTTGTCGAAGATGAGGAGATTGATAATGACTACCTTCTAGCAAGAGACAGGTCGAGGAGAGTCATCAAGCCACCTCAGAGACTTGGGTATGCATATCTTATAGCTTATGCCTTAGCCTCTGCAAGTGAGGTGTTATACGAAGAACCTAGAGACTATAAGGAAGTTATGAGGAGTCGAAAGAAGACTGAATGGATAAAGGCCATGGATGATGAGATGAAATCTCTTCATGATAACAACACATGGGAATTGATCGAGAAACCTTTTGGAGCCAGGTTAGTCAGCTGTAAATGGATTTTCAAAGTTAAGGAAGGAATCGAAGGAGTAACGTCGAAGAGATACAAGGCAAGACTGGTTGCTAGGGGGTTCACTCAGAAAGAAGGTATCGACTTCAATAATGTGTTATCTCCTATTATGAAGCATAGATTCATTCGAATGTTGCTTGCCACAGTGGCACAGTTCGACCTTGAACTGGAACAGATGGATGTGAAGACTGCATTCTTGTATGGTGACTTAGACGAAACAATCCTGATGAGGCAACCCGAAGGGTATGTCGAAAAGGGGAAGGAAGATTATGTGTGTAAGTTGAATAGATCCTTATATGGACTGAAACAATCTCCTCGACAATGGAATAGGAGATTCGACAAGTTCATGGCACGCATAAGTTTCATCAGAAGTCAGTTCGACCACTGTGTTTACTTCAGATTTCGACCGGGTAATTCTTTTGTTATTTTGTTGCTCTATGTGGATGATATTCTAATAGCAAGCAACAATGTCGAAGATGTAATGAGGGTGAAGGCTGACTGGCAAGCATTGAAGTGGATTTTAAGGTACATAAATGGGTCTCTGAATAGAGTCCTAATTTATGGTGGAGCCTTAGGTGAAGATAGTAAAGCAGCAATCGAAGGATATGTCGACTCTGATTATGCAGGTTGTATAGATTCTAGAAAAATCTATCCCTGGATACATGTTCACTATGTTTGGGACATCAATTAGTTGGAAAGCAACACTTCAGAAGGTTGTTGCCTTATCAACCACTAAAGCGGAGTATATTGCCCTAACTGAAGCTGTGAAGGAAGCATTGTGGCTTGAAGGTTTTGCAAAGGAGCTACAACTTCAAGGTCAAATTGTCATTGTTAAATGTATAGTCAATGTACAATACACCTATCGAAGAATTCAGCCTATCATGAGCTAACCAAGCACAGTGATGTGAGGCTGCATTTCGTCAGAGGGGTAATTGAGCATGGAGAAGTCCAATTGCTGAAGGTTTCGACAAAATCATAATGCTGCTGATATGATCACCAAGACGTTGCCCAATTGCAAGTTTTTCCACTGTATGCAGTTAATAAAGCTGCATGAAGAAAGCTAGTTTCTTGATGTTATAGAGTTAGATCCAAGGTGGAGATTTGTGAGATGTTGGATCTAACTCTAGTGTGGTCGAAGTCTGTTTACGAGTAATGCGTGTTGTAGTCGAAGTTTGTTCTAACATGCATTAGTCAATATTGCTAGGGTTGTTAGCATGTTGAATTAGGCCTTGCTTGTAAGCCCAATTGTTTAAGTTAGCTTGTACCCTAATTTAGCTTGTAATGGGTAATTGTTAAAAATCCTATTAGGTTAGTGTGCTATTTTTTTTATAAATAGGATGCTAGTTTCTAAATCTTGTCATAAGGAAAAATAGGAAGATAAAATCCTAATTTCAAGAGAGAGATGTTATTTTGTTATTCTTGTATACTTGTAATCTTGTTCTAAGAGAAAGGAAAGAATAGCAGTTTAATAACCAATCCTTGTTGTTCCTTGTTGCTTTACATTGTCTTCTTTATTAACCCTAACCCTTGTGAGTTTCTTGATCATTAAGAAACCGTTTATACTTTGTTTTAAGGTATCCGATTCACAATAATTTCTAAATTATGTGCATGGATAATGTGATTGAATATGTGACGAAGAAGATCAATAATGGTGGATGGAGCTTTGTTGATGTTTGGTTGTCTTTCCTTCATTTAAGTTACGTTTGAGCTTCAGTGGCGTTATGGCATTCGAATGGAAAAACATACATGTGTTGAAAGAGTTGATGTTAGAACACTTACGTGTGTTAGAAGGGATGCAGTTTTAAAAAATATTATGTAATATGAGTTTATATGTTAGGGAGTTTAGATGGAGAAGATGAAGATGAAATTTCCTAAGGTATATTTTAGTAAAAAGTATAATGATGATGAATTGAATGTTGAAAAGAAAATGAATAGTTAGAGTCTGGTTTTGAGAATTTGATAACATCGGGTCATTGTGTAATTTTATCAAATATTTACGTATGTATTTGATGAAGAAATGTGAAGAAAATGAAGAAATGTGAAGAAAATGAAGAAATGAAGAAACAAAGTAAAAGGATGAAACAATTGAGAAATTGTGAAGAAAAGAGCATTTTCAGCACAATTTATATCATGATGTATGTTCACTAATTTGATCATATCTAGAGTTGTGTAACTCGAATTGAGGTGAGTGCAGTGATAAATGAAAGATAACAAAAACTCTAACTACTATAAAAATCATTGACGCAATGAAAAGCATAGTGGCCACGACGAAACCCTATTTATGGCGTGTTTTGACTTATATAAAAGGGAGAATGCAGAGAAAAAAGGGTGGAAATTCTTGTGATAGAAATTCAACGTCGAAGAAAGTTTTGGAGTTCTCGAAAGAATGTTTTCATTACTGAAGCCAAATTCTAACTGGAGATTCATATATTGTCTCTTTATTACTTCATTTATGATTCATATTAGTATGAATGACTAAGTTTTTATTGATTAGGTCTTGTTAGATGAATCTGTTGGATAATATATATGCATTTTGTACCCTTTGCACTTTTGATTAATTCAACATTGTTATTTAGTTACTTTTATGTTCATAGTTTTATATGTCTTGACGAATTTATATATTAAACTTGGAACTCATAGTTATTATTACTGCCCATAACCTTACGAATCAGATCTAAAATACATGTTAAAATTAGTAATCGATTAGGAATATGAGATTATAAGTTGTGACTTAGGATTTGACGTTCTTAAATTTCTTGTTTTAATTATACATATGACCCAAGGTATTAGAGAGTTGTGTAGTATAGAATATTGAATTATACACTAAGGAATTAAGTATAGCAAATGCGTGAAACTGTTGTAATCGTTGAATAATCAATATAGGACAATTAGACACCGACATCAAGAGTTACATACAGAGGATTTGAAACAAAACTTAATCGTCTCTAATCTAATCAAGTTTTTATTTACACAGTTGTTCTTTAAAAGTATTTTTGGACAGATCAATAAAAAATTCATACACCTTCTCATAATGATTTCAGAACTTTATTTTATAGATTAACCAATAATAAATCAAGATCTTTTGGCCAGCTCTAAAAGTGCTTGTGGTTTGGGTTAGGTTCTAAGTAGTTATAAATTGGTTAGTGGTGACGGTGTTGTTGACTTGAGATTAACCTTAGGTCTTTGTTTGGTATAGAGGTTATAGAAACTTTACTTTTTTTTTGTGTTTTTCTCAAGCAATGAACTAAGGTCTTTTAGATAACTCTAAATCTCCTAACAGTCTAAATCTCCTCATTAATTATACTTTATATATGAGAATTACATTGACCACGTAAAGTATACAAGCTCCAGTCATTGGGTTGGGGATGATACTATCCAGTGTCACTATCAATATCCATTACAAACTACTACAGTATATACTGTTGCCATTATTAACCACTCCACCTCTAAATTTTCTGCCAATGTGAATTCAATTATATAAGGCTTGTTACTTTGGAGTTTCCGCAAAAAATATTGTGGACATGACAAACATAATTGTGGGCAAATCTAAACCCTTAGTTCACTTAAAAAAAAAGGGTGGAGTGGAGTGGTCTTACTAAACTTATATTTTTAAAAACTAAAAATTACAAATATTTTTGTTAATACTCACACTTGCAAAAGTTTGAAAAAAAAATATATATAACGAGACGGACATATTAGAAGGTATAAATTTAAAACTTAAATTTGCTCCCTTAAAAACATTTGAAAAAAGAGACGGACATATTAGAAGGTATAAATTTAAAACTTAAATTTGCTCCCTTAAAAACATTTGAAAAAAGTAACATGTCCGACGAATCAGATCTATTTTATCACCCTTAATTAAAATGATGAAAATCATTAAAATATTTTGTTGGAGTTAAATTTAAGAAATTATATATATATATATATATATATATATATATATATATATATATATATATATATATATATATATATATATATATATATATATATATATATATATATATATATATATATATATATATATATATATATATATATATAATAAATTTAAAATTCCACTTCCACTCTATAATGTGAATGTCTCATTAATAATCTTTTAAATTTTTCAATTTAAAATTTCATAATATTTTGAATTTTTCTAATTGACCCCCTAAATTTTCTATAAAAAAAATTAAATTAGTCTCTAATAAACCGGTCATTTTAAATTTTTTTTAAAATTTTGAATCTAATCCAAAGTTTTTAAAACTTGTAAAAATAACCTTAAATTTTTCCAATAAATAATTATAATTTGTATACTATATCTTAGCAAAAATATTTAAAAATAAATAAATTTCAATTTAAATAATTTAAGTAATTTAAATTTATAATTCTTTTAAAAACTTGTAATTATCACATGTAAAAACACCATTAATATTAAAATATTAAGAGTATTCATATTCAATTATTTTTCCTATATAAGTAGCACTCTATCCATCCTCTTAAACCATTATCTATCTCCTTTTCCTACCTTACTTGTATCTTACATTTCTCACAATCTTGTCTTAGTTTATCTCATTTATTTCTAGGGTCAAAATGGGGATAAGGCAATGGCCAAAAAGAGGCTTGAATGTAAAGGGAAGGAAGAAGAAGGCAAAACTATGTTTGGCAAAGAATGCAAATGTTGGAAAAAGTTGCTTACAAAAGAAGCTTCAAGAACTTGAGGGGACTGTTCCAGGGAACAATTTGTTTCAAAGTATTGAAAAGTACATACTTCAACTTGAAGCTAAAGTCACCATCTTAAGGTGTTTATCCAACTTCTATGGAGTATAAGATTATTTATTCTGACACTAAACTAAAAAGGTTTGAATAAATGAATCTAAAGTAATCTTATAATTTGTTTGTAATTTGTTTAAGCTTTGGAATAAAAATATTTGCTCTTTATCATGTATATCATTGCATGCTTTCTTACCAATAATATTATGCTTGTAATTTGTTGAAGCTTTGGAATAAAAATATTTGCTCTTTATCATGTATATCATACTTACTTTTTTTCTACTTCATTTCTCATTTCTATTCAGCTGAAAAAACGTGTATGTATCCATAATTATAATATCAGACACCAACATCAATATTTATTTTTGTATTTTATTTATTTATTTTTTTAAAATTATTATCGATGTAATTGTGAAATTGTGCTTCATAGTTTTTATTTTTTTAGCACTTTTGTGAGAATCCTTGAACAATAATATTAACAAATATGTTTTGACAAAATTTGGTACAAGGGATGATCAAGATTTTGTCTTCATGCAAACCTCCTCTTTCTTTGCTATTATGGTTGGGATTTTGTTTTTACAATGAAACAAAATCATTTAAGCCACTGCAAGAAAATTGTTATTTAGTTTACTTGATTTAGCAACGGTTGGCTTAAATCGCAATTAAGTCCTTAATTTTTTTTGGCGGTTTGAATGAATTAATGTGTTAGTTTGTCTTCTAACTAATGTCTTTTATATAAATATTTATTACCCAAGACAGATCTTCTCATGTTTTTAATCTAACGGTTCAGAATTTATAATAAATAATTAAATAAAAAAAATCATACAAATTACTTATTCATTTCTCTCTCCTATTAAATGACTTTTTCTATTTAACTATTTATTATAAATTCTGAACTGTTATATTAAAAACATGAGAGATAACAGAATATATAAAAAAGGAGAGGATTTAAATTCGCTTTATAGTTACCCAATCTAATTCATATTGATTATGAAAAGCATATTATGGCCTTCCTCTTGAGTACATTATATATATATATATATATATATATATATATATATATATATATATATATATATATATATATATATATATATATATATATATATATATATATATATATATATATATATATATATATATATATATATATATATATATATATATATATATATATATATATATATATAACATCAACTTATTTTAAAAATAAGCTTTTTTAATTTAACTTATAATATTTAAATTGAATTTAATATAATTATTAGATAAATTTTTTATTTAATTAATCATTAAATTAGCTTTAATTCAATTTAAGAGTTATGATTTGAAATTACAAATCTGCCATAAATTTGTTCCTTACAAATATCTATGAACAATTTTGATATTTTATATTGGTTTTTTATTCTCTTTCTATATACCAGCATCTCAAGAACTCATTTTATTAAATTTTATGCAGAGTAATTTCTTTTTTTTCTTATCTCTAATAATAAATTCTATTTTTTGTACTATAATGTTTTTATAAAGTTTTTCCTACATTGAAGGATTATTTCAATATTTTAGAAATTTCTATCTCAATTGTTTTTACCCTTCATCTTTAATAATTTAAAGAAAAAAGATTACCCTTTTTATATATTCTAATAATCTTCTAATAATAAATATTATATATATTCATTTGAATTATTATAATAATATGATAATATGTAAAGTATTATTTTATTTCGTATTTTGATTATTTGATTTCAATTGTTTATTTTACTTAATCTAAAATTATTTTTTAATATCTTGCTTTGAATTCAATTTTTAAATTTTATTTTTCAATAGAAATTCTGTTATCTTTTTCTTTTTGTTTTATCGTTGGTTCTTCATACATGGTAAAGATGTAGATAATATATGCATCTGTAGTTAGATAAACTTTTTATAAACTACTAAGTTATTCATATTTTTTATTTTAAAATTTGAATTTAATATTTTTTTTTCTATTATGAACCATAATTTTAAAATCTCACGTAAAAAAAATTCAAATGCCTCTTTGCATTTCAAGATTTTATGCTTTTAATCCTTAAATGATGATTGAGGATAAGTATCGTTTCTTTTGGATTCTTATTCTGAGCAGAGGTGTTAGAAGATGGAGGAATTGTGACTCGATATGGTGGAGATATTTGTCTAGTGTGGGGTGTTTCGACGGCTTCAACAAAGATTGTTTTTGTGACAATGAAAGGTGTTCTTTGGATAACGTTTCAAATATCGACTTCTGGTCCAGCAGATGGATGTGTGCGCAGAGCCTAAAGAAGGATTATCCTGAATTATATGAGCGTGTTGTTCTGCAAGTTAGTAGTGTATAAGGGATGGAATTTGAGTTGATGGAGCGTGGTCGTGGAATCTTCATTTGATGGAGCAAAAATTAGCCAATGGTTCGAACTGTTGAATGATGAATTATTGGAGAAATTGGAGTTGTGTCAACCTATTTTATCAGTTCATGATAGGTTTGAGTGGATCCCGGAAACATCTTTTTTGTATTCAGTTTCTTCTTGTTATGCAGTTTTGTAAAACTCCCATTTGGTCAAGGTCAAAGACGTTTTGACGGATGCCCTTGATATTCTGCGGAAAACTACGATCCCTTTAAAGTTTTTTCTTTTCAACTCGAGGCTTTTGTTAGACAGATTGTCGACTAAGGATAATTTGACCCATAGAGGTATCACTAACTTTTCTGATTCTTTGTGTCCTTTGTTCTGCCCATGTGAAAAACCTGCTCCATCTTTTCTTTTCTTGCTCGATGATTTTCTCTAAAAGGAGGAGATTGCGGGATTGGTTATGTTGTGTCTTTAATGGTTACTTTGTCAAAGAATTTTGTTTATCTCTTCTTGGGGGAAATTGCGAAAAGATTATGGTAATAATAAGGCTGGGATGTTTTGGATAGCAGTGTATTGGGTTATTTGGTTGGGGAGAAACAACATTACTTTTAATGGGATAAAGTTCAACGTTGATCAAACTTTCCTTTTCATTAAGTTCTTGTTTTGGAATTAGTTAGTTGTAGGTAACTTTTCTGTTATGTAATTTCGTTGGTACGATTGGTTTACTGTTCCTTCTCTCTGTTTGTAAGTGGCATTTTTCACCTTTGTAAGGGTTAAAGTACCCCCTTATACTTTCGATAATATATTGCTTGCTTATAAAAAAAAATAGTAACGTAGCGCTGCCACTAATTTTTTAATGTCAGGTGGTTGTCCAAGTGATGTTTTTATTTTTTATTTTTTAACTATTTTAAATTTAAATATTTATTATAACTAAAAGATTAAAAAAACAAAACAAAATTTTGACAGTTTTGCAATTTTAATTCTTTTAGTAATAATAATTATACAAGTTTAAAATAATTAAAAATAAAAAATAAATAACACACAAATATAATATCCTTAATTACATAAGTATGTTTATTGTTAATTAATGATGAAATTTGTGATGTAGTAATGAGTTGAGTAGGATTAAGGATATTAATCTCTTGACCACCTAGATTAATGAAATTAAGTAAAGAAAAGTATTGATTAGTAACTTCTTATAAGTGGTAAGGGTAATATAGTCATTTTCTTGGAAAAGTATTTAAGCAGTAGACTTACGAGAGAAACTCCTTTTTTTCCTAATTTCTTCATCTGAAAACCCAAATTCGTAGAAGAGAGCGAGAGTGGAAATAGAGAGTGAAAGGGGCGAGTAAGCTAGAGGAAGAAGAGAGGAGAGGTTGTGATCAAGCAAGTGCAAGTTAAAATTTTGAGCAAATTGAGGTAGAATTAAGTTAGAAGTCTTGAGAGTGAAGCTTGATAGTAGAATATTCATCTTCATCCCACTCCAAATTCAGGTTTTGAATTGAATGTGGAGTTCTATAGGTTGTTGATTTTGTTTAAAACCTTTGGAATCAATGCATGATGGTGGAGGTTTGAAATGCACGAGGATATATTTACATGTTTAAGTTTCTGTTGTGCTTGTTCTTAGTCATGAGAAATTTTCATGTTTGAAGTTGCATGTTATGTTAAAAAAAATTGAACTCTACACCATGTTGACAACATGTTTTTCTTTGGTTAATGTTGAAGATAATAATAATGATGTTGCTTGTTGTTCTTCATAGCATGAAAACTTCATTGAATAATCATTAACATCCATATAATTAGTTATGCCTGTTCTTATTGGCTTGTATTCTATTACTTTTCTCTTGAATAATCATAAACATCCATATAATTAGTTATGCATGTTCTTATTGGCTTGTATTCTATTACTTTTCTCTTGAATAATCATATGTACATTGAGTTTTGGTTGGTTTTGGATTGAAATATAGGTACCAAAGTCAAAAAATATGAAACACTTATTTTCTAGGCACAACACGTTCCGTGTTCTGTGACACGGATGGGTTGTGTCCCCCTCTAGTTTCTGGGGGCATTGTTAGGCACAACACAACCCATGTTGGTTAGCACACTTGAACTATGTTTTCTTCTAGTTTTTATATGGAGGGAGTTCATTATATTCATCACATCGCTTGTTGGATAGCACACATGGGTCATATTGGCCTCTGGATGTTTATTATGTTGTGTTTCATAGTATTGGAACTGTAACGGCATGTATGCTACATTTCAATTGAGCGCAACCAGAATAACATGTAACTCACATAAGAGGTTATGAAACCTAGTAAGGAATCATAAATGTATGTGTTGTTTGTATAATGAATTGAAAAGGTAATACTTGAACAAAGTGAGAAACCCTAAGAGATTATAGGAGCGTCTAGTTGTGAATCCTTGAAACATGTATATGTATATTCATAATTGTATATGCATCCATTTGCACTTCTAAGTGCATCGTAATGCAATGAGATGATTTTTATAAGCACCCATTAACATCCTAAGTGGAGCGTAATGCAATGAGATGATTTGTATATGCATTCATTTGTACTTCTAAGTGGAGCATAATACAATGATATGATTTATATATATACACAATCACAGACCTAAGTAGACATAATGTGATGATATTAGTCTCGAAAGAGACAGTTTTGTGATATGCGTGTAAGGAGAGGTTAACAA